CGAACTTTAGGCACTATCTTTTAATCAAGGACTGCCCATCCTTAGTAACGCCATCGTCTGCTCTAAGACAAGGGTTTGCCAATATTCCAGATTTCTTTGCTTCAGGACAAAGGAACCGCCAGTGAGCCAGCTCATTATGAATAACTTTTATGACTGAGGATTGTGTTTTTATGTGCATAGCTGCGGAAAAGTTTGTCGTTCTCCTGCTCTCCTCATTTAAACTTTGCATGCATTGCAGAGGGCACCAGCTTCCTTGCTATTATTAGTTTGCACTAAAGGCAGACGGAGAGAAAACAAATGAGACAGAGATCCAGAAATGGGGTAAAATTTCAACAATTTCCATAAAGCACAAAGGGATAAATCCTTCCTCCCAGAGCAAAAATGGGCAGAAAGGCAAATGAAAGACAGAGCTCCACAATGGCTCCAATGATAGCAAACACTTGCAATTCATGGCACTCATCATTTTATTTTTTGTGCCGATAATGCATCGCGCCAAGTCCAGAAAAGCACCACTCACTCTCTGAAATTCCAGTATGTGTTTTATCTGAAAATAATGTACCAGCGTAGGAAAATAAAAGCAATTAAAAGAGACCATACTGTGAGTACAGACCGTTTGCGAGGAAATGTTGAGCAAATTAAAACACACGTTGTGATTTGTGACTATTTCCTTTCCTGTGTTCAGATGGTACTTTATTTTATTTTATTTTTTTATAGTCTGGTGACATTTAATTCAGCTCTCAAGGGGGAGAGGTGATGGCTTCTATTGCTAGCACGCTGATATAGGCTGAAGACAGGTCTGCACTAGAAGGTGTTAGTTCAGTCCTCAGCTTTGGTAAAGGAGAATGAAGCAGAGTTAGGAAATGGGAATGCTGCCAATCCCTCTGGAAATCAGGAGTCCAGCCCACAATCTCTGGGAGCAGAAAGGATTCAGAGAAGAGCTGCTGAGCAGATAGCACCTCAGTGGGGGACTGCAGTGGAGGATGCTGCATCTTCAGTGTCAGGTATCCAGGTTGTAGCCGTATTGGTCTAGAGGAAAAGGCAATCAGGACTCAGAGGAGAGATGATATTGTTTATTAAACCCCTTTTTTTGCAAAACATTTTTGCATAAATCTTGTTGGTCTAATAAAAGATATCATCTCTACTACGAGTCCTGATTGCATCTTCAGTGGCACACCTAGTCCTTTGCATCTTAAGACCTAGAAATCCCAGTAGTTACTCACATACGTGCATTGGGTTGAGGAGCTAAATACCCTTCACTCTGACCATGAATCTCTGATCTCTCTCATTTCATTACCAGTCTCTCAACATTTCTCTTTTTTTGTTTCCCTTAGCCCTCTTTCAACTAAATTTATTAACTGAATCTTATTTGCAATTAATATTCTGTAATTCAATCCACATCCCCCTCTGTAATACAGGTGATAAACGTGGACTTGGTCTATTGTATTTCATTGCTGCCTTTCTTTGCTGCCTTAAATTAACTAATGATGCAGGCAATATTTTTTTTAATTCAAATTCCTGGAGGCATTTTGACCAGCTGAGTGGTTTCCAAATACCAGAAGAGAAAGTGGAGGGAGGGGAAGGCCCACCACAATTCTGAAACGCTTCCTCTTTAGATTATTTATCTATATAAAATGAAAATAAAAATATTTCAATGCCGGTTTTCATTGTCCAAGTTAGTAGAAACTGCCCAAAGAATTCTGCTTTCAAAAGTACAAATGCCTGCTTGTATTTTTAGCACTACGCCCTCTCTGCCCACCTCTGCACATTGCAGAAATAGCTTTATATTCATTCATTGGCAGCTAAATCTGCATCCAGAGATACATGGCACAAGACATAACATTGAGAAGTAGAAAGAGATTCCAGATTATAGGTTCTTTTGTTTCAAGGCTTAATCAGGGAAATAGGGTCCACCTGTAATGCTCAAACCTACCGTCCCCATCTCAGGATTATAACAACAACCTACACAACCTCTGTTGTCATCTCTACCACCACAGCCATCAGTGTGTCAGAATGGGGGTTTTGCTTAGGCTCATCTTCATGCCATCTGTCTACGTTTGGACACCTGGATTTCTGCACCAGCCTACATGTCCCTTTGAACATAGGGTGTAGGGAAAGATTGCATGTCCTTGTGATGGGCATGGGTGTTGGTGATGGTCACATGAGCACAGAGGTATGTGGGTACATGGTGTGGAAATTGTGATGGGAATGTGTATGATGTAATGGCAATGATGAGTTTTGGATGGTCATACAAATCTAGGGATATATGTGTGTGTGTGTGTGTGTGTGTGTGTGTGTGTGTGTGTATGTATGTGTGTATGTGTATATGTGTGTGTGTGTGTGTGTGTGTGTATGTATGTTTGTGTGTATATACACACACATACTACCATACATATCTAGGGAAATATATTTCTGCAAATAAAAAATATATACGTGTAGGAGGATCCATGATGGAGAAGACCTGCTAGCTGACTTTGGGCAAGTCTCACTCACTCTGCCTCAGTTTCCGAAATAGAGATAACGGAGACGATAATACTGCAAAATGGAGCTAATAATGCTGACATCTTCCCCAGCAGATCATTCGTGTCTATCTCAACCGAGATTCTCTCCGTTATACTTTCTACAAACCAACGTGACACTGTTCTGTCATTCTACCCCATTATGATTTATATCATAAGTCAAATCATCATGATTATTTGATTAACCCATTTCACAGCCACAGAAATGGGTTCTGTTATCATGACCAATTCTGGATGGTTTCCTCCAGTACATCCCTATACAGCTGTTATATACTTTCTAACCTACCAAACTTTAATAGAAAGTTGTGTTCACAAGGAAAAGAAATACAGAAAATGTCACTGGGACTCAGCTTTCTGTCACTCAAAATTCCTCGCCCAATAGACATTCACATATCCTCTTCGTAGAACAGGCTTGAATCAGGATGATTTTCAGTTGCTTTCACACACTCATGATACAAATCAAGAAATGTAATAAAGTAACCAAGATAAAACACACAGTTCCCTCATTCCAGGATCAATACAAGGGACTCAGCACTCAGCTGAAATGTGCTTTATGGCACACTTCTTCTTTTCCAGAAGATCAGTACAGCGCATTACTCACGATGCCATGAAAAAGCATCTTTTTTTTATGGACCAGTTTCAGGTGATCTGGAAAGCTTTGGGATTAATTTGCTTTTTTTAGCCTGGCCTAGCAGAAGAAACTGAGTCCATCTCTTACAGCCAAACTTAAACTGAGCTCCAAACACACTGAAGTGTAGATGGTGTTAATTAATAGGGGTTCCTTGAGTCCAGAGTTTAATTAAAGTCTGCACACAAGTGTCATCGTAACGGGAAGTTATTTGGATCTGGGTTATTTGTCTAGAAGCACTTTCAGCCAGGATACTGGAAGTATCCTTTTGATGATAATCCACTGCCTTCTAGTTATTCCTGTAATTATTAGTAAAAGTAACAGTATCATCATAATGTATATGGACCCCTGTCAGACAGCAGGGATGAATTATGCTAGATTTGGTACAAACACATCATGAAACCAGACCCTTGCTCCAAAATGTTTATAAGCTAAAGCTCCAGTCCTGCAAATATCTATGTGGATGCTTAAAATGATGTGCTGTGTGTAATCCTATCAAAGCCAACAGGACGACTTACTGTGTATAAAATCGAGTGTATTCAGAAATTTTTACAGTGCCAGGACTAGGTTAGGTTTTTTACAATGCTAAGACTAGGTTAGAGTTTTGTTTTGTTTTTTTTAACCTAAAATACAAGACACCACGAGTGGATATCCCAGAAGGATGCATATAATAAATAATTGGAAAAATTCTTCTTTGCGAGTTTGAGTTGGTCTAATAAAAATATCAGCTTTACCCAAAGAGCCTTGTCTGCCTATAATCAGTCAGATATTCTGGTTAATATAAAAAGGCAAGAGGATCCAGTGATTTGGTTCATTTTAAGGTTGTTGTTGTTGCGGCTTTATGTCGTTCACAAAAAGTGCCTCCAAAGAATTATTTCCTTGTTTTCTTCCTGTAGGATTTGAAAATACTAGTGCCTCCCTCTGTCTTTTTTTCTGGCTCTATCCAGATTTTGCTGTTGATTTCAGATGAGTTGCCTATCTGCTAAACAGGAATACTTGCAAAGGGGTATATTTACAGCTGATTGATATATTGACAATTGATTGAACAAAGTAGGCAACAGTTGTCATGCCTGGCATATTCTTGTAAACAAGGCCTTTTAAAGAAAGGCTTTAATTTTAGCAATTTTTTTTTTTTAATAAATGAAGATCAGATTAGTTAGATCATTAATTGGATTTGTTTTAGTTCCATAAAGATAGAACAATCATGCAACTTCCCACCATACCAGAGAACATTTGCAAGACAGAAGCCTCTTGTCGCGCACGTACGCACATCATTCAAGCACTGGGGGGGGGGGGGTTAGCATAAATATGATCCCAGCAAGGCTGGTTCCATCCTGCTCCCACTGAAATCAGTGGCCAAACAGTTAACAGCCATTGGCTTTCCCGGTAGATGGCTCGTGTTTAAACAGCACTTCTCAAATGATTATCCACAAAGGAAGAAGTCAGACAAAGGCACAGATGGTGTTCGGACAAAATTTCACTCTATCTGGCTCACAATCCTCTTTTTTTTTTGTGAGCTAATGAGTGTATTAATCAGAGATCAGGTTCTTCTTAGTTAGTTTCCATTAGGTAACTGGTCGGTGTATATATCTGTCTACTTCACTTACTGAACTACTGACATCTCTTGCGAATGGCAGCCAGCCAGGGCTTATTATGAGATGTAAAGGAGAACTTTGGTATTTTGGGGGTTGCAAATCCTTGATCTGCATCAGGCAGGTACTCATTAACCTTAATCAAGCAGGTTGCAGCATGTACGAGGCTTGTTCTGGGATGTATGGTTGGTATTAATATGTCCTCCCTGTCATCTAACACCTGTCTCACTCGTCATGAAACCCTCGTGTAGCTGAGGTCGCCTTTCTCCATTTCAGCTTGGCAGTGTCCTTGGAGGAACAACTGAAGCTGTAGGTAACTCAACTCCTCGAAGACTGGCGAAGCACTTGCCAGGGAACTTATTTCAAAAGGTGATCAGTCTGTACATTGGAAACAGCCCAGAAGACATATTTTCAAAGTAACCTTTCTCCAGAGCTGCCTCAATTTATCTTGGGTGACAGCTGACAAGGGCACCGGACCTCGGCGAAGGGCATTGTGGATGGCCTACCCGGTGGTGTAGAGGCGGGACATCGTTTTGTTTTCATGGGGGCTGCAGGAAAGAGTAGGATCTCGGAGTCCTTGCTAGCTTATAGGATAATTAAGGGTGTGCCTAAAGCCTAACAGTAACTTATTGGATTTGTGCAGTTAAAAGCACCTTGTTGCCTCTAGCAAACAGCACAGAAAGAGGGTAATGTCATTAGCATCATGTCAAGATGCCTTTGACACCATATACCAAATTAACATAGAGCAATTTACAGTTAATTCAGCTTGCCTTTGGCAGCACCTGGAGCAGGGCTTGCACTCACATCTTCAGTTCTGCAGCAAGACGCCTTACCCAATCTGCTGCCGCTTCACAGCAATCCCAGCCTTGCTTCTCCTTAAATAATAACTTCTTCTCAGCAGTCATGAAGCACACTGTTGCTTACATAACTGATGCAAGACAGACTGGCCCCCATATTCATATGCACTGACATTTAGCACTTCTCATTTATAAAAAGGATGACACTGTTGCTTTGCCCTGTTGTTTTTTTTATGCATCAGATGTGTTCTTCTGGGCCAAGTGGGATTGTACACACTACATCTTCTGTGGGCCCTGAGGCAAAATAAGTGGCTCGGAAAAGAATTGCATCCATCCCATTTGCTGCCCTGACTTTCATTTGCTCATCTGTTGAGCCCTGGATGAAGGACGGTAAACACAGATGTTGAACGAGGGGGGTGGAAAAAAAGCTTAAAGGAGAGACCCATCCCAAAGCAACAGGCAGTCTGGTGTTGGAGAAACTCCTTGGAAGTGTTGGCTCACGTACATAACGTAAATCAGGCCAGAGAGGAATTGGAAACCACTGTTCTGGTACCACATAGGGGTGTCTTAGCTACATGGCTATTAACTATTGTGACACCTTTTGCTCATAACTGAGGATCTTGAGCAGAGAGTGCCTATGCCAGAGAGGAAGAAGCTTGTGTTTAGACTTAGACACGCAGGGCTAAATCGTACTTCACCATCCTGTGTTTATTCAGCAGCTGTGTAGCTATATTATGGCGATTTTTACGTGGAAGCGCAGGTTGGATGCTGCCCCCGCTTGCTGCAGAACGTGCATTTGAACCTGCCGAATTGGAAATGGAGGCAAACAACCTCCCTGCCTTTTGGCTTTGGTCCTGGCATGCACACATAAGGGGAGAAGCTTTGCCCCCACCTCTCCTAGAGAAGGGGCTTGAACCTTTGCCCCCCACTTTCCTGCAGGCCTAGACATTGGGCAGCAGCTTCTCCATCCCTCTTCTTGAAGCTGGACCACTGCCTCTTGACTACAAGAGTCACTGGATTAAATAGATATGGGGCATTAGGGTCATTTTCAGCCTCCCGGAAGCAGGGACCCAAGCCGTGCACCTGGTTCAGTGTCCATCTCAGCAAACCACACTCCCTCTGCCAGGTTTGTCTCCTGGTGTCACACATTTTTTCTCTCTTCATTGCCCAGAGGGAGGGCTAGAGCTGACTGGGTGGTACCAAGCTAGTTAGTTAGACTTCCCCTTGATTCAAAAGCAGGTAATACAGGTTCAAACCCCCTGTGGGAAAGCATAAAGCTTTGACTTACCTTGGCCAAGTGCCTGAGCCAGTAGGGCTGTGTGCGAAACAGTAGAAAGGTCCTTTTCTTTTTTTGGTCATTAGCTTTGGGTGTTGCAAAGCCTGCTGGCTTCTGAGGACCTAAGCCTTAGCTCTTCCTGGCAGCTGTAAAACTATTCTGATCTGCTGCACTTCAGTCACTGGTTCTTATTTCCAGAGCTAAAGGAGAACAGGGCATTAATGCCATATGCTTTAACATAAAATAAATTAAGGAATGGTGAGTAACCATTTAAAAATACTGAACAAGGTACTTCGGGTAAATGTGATATTTTTATTAGACCAACTCAAATAGTTGCTCTAATAAAATATATATCATTTACCCAAGAGCCTTGTCTGCCTATGTCCTTAGAGCAACGTGGCTACAACCTTACACCCCTGAACTATAATGAGGTGCTTTGGCTGAAAATGAGACCTCATTCGGGGCTTGTGGAAGGGGTCTGGGCTAGCAACAATCGCTTTGCAATTTTATAAAACTTTTCAATTATGAATTAGACAGCAAGGTGAAAGGAAGGAATCATTCAAGAGTAAGCACCAACTCTGAACACTATATTCAAGAGCTGGATTGGCAAAGGCGTATGTAAGAGTTGTAAAGACCAGCACCACAACATCTAGGTGCCTGATTCACAGGCTCGCCTATGAGACATGAACTTTCGTTTCCACCCAGGAGAACTTTTACAATCTTTTCTCCTATGCCCGATGAAGGGTATTTGTGCCTGAAAGCTTGCAATTAAAGATTTCTTTTTTTTGCAAAAAGCTAGTTGGTCTAATAAAAGCTCCCATGAGTCCTGATTGCTTTTGACTCACAGAATTGAATCCACAGTCCTGAGTGGGGAAAGCCAGTCACCTCAACAAGAGGTGACCTCCACAGTTGTCTTCCCAGCTCTGAACTCTCCTCTTGTGCCAAAATGGAGCCAAGGCCATGCCTTTCCTATAAAACAGAGCTGTGACTGCATCCTCCCCTTTGTGCAATAGCTCAGGCATCTCTCACCTTGTATGCAAGAGAGCTAGGTTTTGCACACACATCAGGAAGAAGGTTTTATACCTGCACCTTCCCCCCGGTGGAGGCATGTGTGTGTACTGGGAGCACTGGGAAGGGTATAGTCCCTATGCATCCCATTGAGGCTGCATCAAGATTTATTCATCAGCAAGAGGGGGCAAGAATAAACCAGTAATTTAGGTGTTTATATGGCCAAGGGAAGACCTGGTTTCTAAAGACCAGCTCCTTTTTATATCAGCCATAAAAAGCCCAAGTCCATTGTAACTCTGGGTCAAGGAAAATAGCACTGTGGATGGTAGTAATCTACACAGATCTATCTGAAGAGTTACTAATAAGGCTGAGGAATTGCACAAGTAGATTTAATTTAACAGGGGCAATAGGTTACGCAGGTGTAGGTGACCGGTAACAAGAAAAACCCAAAACAAGGAATGAAACTAGCTGGATTTCCAGTCCTGAGTGCATTGGAGTGGACGTAGAGAGAGATTGTGGGTGTGCTATTTTTCAGAGTCCCTTTCCAGACAGGAACACCTCCTCGCTATGTGCCTTGTCCTGCAAAAGCAGAGACAGCCGCCACCTGAGGGGAAAAATGTGGGCTAATGCTTTTCATTTTGAAAGCAAGCCACAAGAGCATGCTGCCATCGTGTGGCAAAATGAAATATTTCTACATCCCCCCATGTTTTGAACAGGAACAAGTGATTTTTTGCAGGGTGACAAGTTGAGATGGCTTAAAAAACTGATTTTGAAATAGGACTCAGGACCTTCATCCCCTTCCTGCATCCCCGGGTTAAATCCCTGCAGGGCGTTCCCAGGCTAGCAGGCAAAACCCGAAGTGTGAAAAATCACTTTGGAAAAGTTAAGCCAGTCGCTGTGACATTTATGAGGAACTACAAACTCCACTTCTCATCTGGGGAAGTTTCAAGTCCTTTGTGGTTTCGGTGAGATTTGCAGTGGGTGATCATATCAATCTGTTATTCTGCCTCTGGCAGGAGAAGACAATAAGAGGAGAATGCAAATAATTTATCCGTATGATTCACCTAAGCTCGCTGGGGTTAATGTCCTATAAGGTGTGTGCACTACATGGGGGTTTAATCAGCCCTAAATTGAAGTGGTTTTTTTTAAAACCCACCACTTCAATTTAGGGCCCCCGTTTTGTCTACACATGCCCATAGTTAGACATGGAGCCTCGATCTCCATTGCATTCTTCTTCTATAGGAAGAAGCAGGGCTAGATGCAGGCATGGGTGAACCAGGCGGCCAGCCAGGGCCTGGACAGAAAGGGGACCCAAAAATGGTAATTAAAAAATTATTACTGTTATCTCTGGTGAAGGGGACTTGATATTAAAAGTTTGCCTGGGGCTGCCAGGTGTGCTGGGAGGAAGAGTTTCAGTTCATTTGCAAATAACCCTCAGGGTAATGGGAATGGGTGCAACTGTCTGGTGAGTCCTCGTCAACCAGAAGGGATAAACAAAATATTAAATAGAATAATAGATTATCAGGGAGTTATAATAGAGGAAGCTACTATACCATGCCCACCCACATGGGCGGTTTGATGGAAACAACCCGAGAAGCTTGCAATCGCCATCTCCTTGGGCTGGGAATTTCCCTCCGACAAAAGCCCTACACAGTTAAATAAAAGTCAGTTCAGCTGAATCCTATCAAAAAGTCAATCATCTACTCCAACTAGAGAGCCCATCACGATGGTCTTGGTCTTGCACGTCTCTTTCTTTATCCAGTAGCACACAAGGCTGTAATACTGGATAGTCCCTGACTTCCCAGCTTAATTTAGCAAGTGCCTATTTCTACTGGGTCAAACCAGGGGTAGTTGTTACGGCTAAGGCTATGGCAAGACCCCATAACAACTCTTCCACCCTAGCCCAGAAGGTTGGCAGTGCGGAGCATCACAGCGATGGAGCATAGACCAAGGAAAGGCTCTCACATCCCATTCCTTTTTATTATTTTCAGCTTATTTTCCATAAATCCCTGTTTTTATTCAGGGTTCACTGTTCCTAAATTTCTAGAAGGCATTTTCTTGAGGTTCTGAGTTACTTCATGGATCATAATAGAGAGCTTGAGTCAGCATTCGCTGTGTATTATTACCCATTTAAGTTGCATGGGGATATTTCACTTTTCAGATTGGAAGATCCATGCTTGCTAAACAGAAGAGAG